TAACCAATCTGTTAAATGCTTCATAAGAAAGTGTTTTCATTAAAGATGGTAGCTTCATGTTCATATTCCTGGGGATACAAATAAGAAGCGTGGCACTACAGGTGCCACAGAGGTCCATTCCCTCCCCCCAAACCCGTCCTGGTCCACTCACCAGGCTCCAAGTGGCACGTGCGCTCATCATCAGCAACATGGCACCAATCATGGAAATAGCCTGACTGGCTCTTCCCCATCTCCCCATACAGTTGACCACTCAACAGCTGAGTGGGGAGACTGATCATCCCACTTCCTCTCTGGAGTGGTTGGCTGCGAGGGGAGGTGGGGAAGTGCTGGCTGGGCTCCTTCTCCAACTGGTGCAGTGTCACTGATAATGGACATGTACACTGCATGGAGCCCATGCAGTGAATGGGCTGGTTCTGGTAGGAGGGAATGGACCTCCGTGGCACTTATGACACTGCACTTTGTATTCATATCCCCAGGGATATGAATATGAAGCTCCCATCTCTAGTTTTCATTGGTAGACCTTTGTTTACTACAGAATCCTGTGATCACAAGAATAGAACTGATATGAAAATGGGGTAGATGCTTACCTCCCTCCCCAACAAAGTATTGGTCTTATCACCAAGCATCCTGAAAATTTCAGTTTTTTTCTTTGAGCAAGAAAAAAAGAAGAAAGTTTCTACTTCTTAGAGCTGTGGAGATAGGCTTGAAAGAATCAGAACATTGCTAAGTAGACTTACAAATTCCAGATTATCTGCTAAACTGATTTTCGAGGCTCCAGAACTCCTGCCAAAGAGCATAAATTTTGCTAATCAAGTAAATTTTTGCAAACATTGTGCATAACTTTATTATTTCTGGATTTGGCTGAAAGTGCATGCATTTCTAGTAGCAAATTGCTGTTTGTCCTGCTGCTGGGGTAAAGGCAGAGGCTGAAATCTAATTAATTAAAGTAAAGCAAAGTATGCTGCTCATAAATGACCCCATAGTGTTTAAAGCACTTTCTGGGTGGGTTACAATTTAATTATGCAAACTACACATTGCCTCCCTTCTTCAGCATGTTAGGTACTCATTTTACAAACTTTGGAAGGATAGAAGTCTGAGTCAACCTTGAGCTGGCTACCTGAATGCATTGGGATCGAACTCAGGTTGTGAGCACCACAGTCTTGACTGCAGTACTGCAGTTTAACCACTGCACCATGAGAGTAGGATGAAGGAATTTTGCTTCTAGCATACAGACTCTATGCTAGAAATCTGCCGGAGTGATGATTTCACTGAAACATATATTTAAGCCACATTGTTCTATGTAAACCACATTGATACGTGTTTGTTGAAAACCAGGGGCAAATGCATATTCAAAACAATTAAATGTTACTCTGATCGCAGAATTCAGACTGTAACAGTTTTATCTTGGACAGCTTTGATTGTTTTATCTTGCAGGATCTGCCAACTAGGAACATATAATATTTTGAGGTTTTGTTTGCTCCCATGTTGTTCGTCACAGGGCCCAAAGCCACTGACAGCCATCTGGTCTCTAGCTGGCGAGACAAAGTAATACACAATTCCTTTCTAAAGTATAGGGTGTCATGTTGCAGACCTCTGGCATCCCACGAGAGTTGGTGGAAGGAAAGGAGACGGAGGCCTTCAGATTGCACATTGGACTTCAACATTGCATTCCTATGGCTTACCCATGGAATGTGGTTGTAGGGGGAACTCTCAGATGGACATGGACTTGCTGTGTCAACATCTTATGTCTTGGGCAGAAGACTTTTGCAGTAAGATCTGGGGAAACATGGTTGACTCAAAGAATTGCAGTTTGCAGACAATATGGAATTCTTTACGTCTTCATGTTGAAACCTGCCTGGATTCAACATGGGCAGAGTTCTTTATTTTTCTTGTAAATTCCTAGTTCTTATACGCTGTGATGTGATACTAAAAAAAGGATCTCTGTTTGGACCATTGCTGCCCCCCCCAGTTCAAAATGCATTCCTTTTTCTCAGCCCTCACCCCCCCAGGCATCGTATCTCTGGGTTCATTCTTCTCATTCCATTCTCTCCTTTCTCTGTGGTTGTTCCCGAGGAAAGTCAGGAAGGAAATCCCAGTGATTACCAAGGAGCCTCCAAGCACCATTTCTCTTATTTTCCTTCCATTCTTCAGGAACTAGAACTTAAATAAATGAAGGAAACTGTTAATGTGAACTGGCAGCCATGAATGCTGTTTTTGTTGAATGCAGGGGAGAAGATGGGTAAATAAAAACTCCCTTTCGGTTTCTTGTACGCTGTCTTTTCAATGTGGTTGCTCACTGACCGGTTTCACTGACAGAAAATGTAACTTTCAAACCTGACCTGTTTGATGCCACTGTCCAATTCAGAGTAGAACACTTTTTTGCCTTTGCCTTTTAGCAACACTTGTAAGGAGTTTAAAGTTGTTCTGCCCAAGCTTTTCCTTGTCTGGGGAGTCGGGCGGGGGGGGGCTGTTCTTACATGTTGGTGCTTGTTGATCTTTTTGCTTTAAAATATCTTTAGAAGCCAGTAATGGAAGCAGTGGTAGTGAATTATCAGTTTACCTTCCTGTTTCAGTTTGACTAGTGATTGATAAGGCAATACTGTATTTACTCTATTACTCTTGTTAGGCTCGTTGCTTCTTAATGTATATTGTAGAAAGCAAGGATAAACCGGCACATGCACACACTAGGGGGAAAAAAGAAAAAAAGAAAAGAAAACAAAACAAAGTTTGGAACATTGTTATTTAAAAATAACAAAGAGTTTGCCTCTTTTTAGTATAAGCTTTGACAGATTGAAGGCCACTTCCATCAGATGCAGCACACAAAACTTCAGTAAAACTAGTGAGTCCTTTATGTGGGACATGATTTTGTTATAACAGGCTGATATGGCTACTCCCCCATATATTTTTTTAAAAAAAGTGATCTCATTTTATAAAGAAGAGCTTATTAACATTACTGATTTGTTTTCTGAAACACGGAAAAGTTTTTTTTAACATTAAAAATACACTTAAAATACAAAAATAGTCCTGGTTCTGCCCAAAAAGTTTAGAGAAATAAATGTTTTAGAGTAAGAAAGTGTCTTAGAGTAAGAAAAGTTTAGCGTAAGACCTGTTTTAATAACACTAGCTGATTCTTTTCTAGACAATGACTGAAATATGATTGCATAACTTACTCTGGTAGAAAGATGATAATATTCTGTGCTGGTGATTTTTGGTTATCAAAGATTTCCTCCTCCTATCCCATGGCTGTCCTGGCTACTGTGTAATGGATGAGAGATTACAGAAGAATCAGAAAAACTGTGGGATGGAATATAAAGTTTTTTATTATAAAATCACCTGCTAGTAACATATTTAGAAGGCATAACCTATGTACTGTAACAGAATGTTGGTTATTAATATTTTTGAACATAGTTGTACCCTTGTTACTTCCCCTCAGTTTTACAGGATTCATCATTACTTGTGACTCTTTGTTTCTCAGCTCTGGCAGAAAGGGTGACAGAGTCAGGTTGTAGGTGTTTGTTCCTCCAATGACTTGTGAAAAAGGCCAGGATTCTTATACAGTAGTTAGATTGGGGCCAAGGCTATTCCTAGGATTGTGGCAGGTTTCCAAAATGCAGGAGTTTAGTATTACTAGAACTTGCACATGTCGCATTCCTCATAGTCAGCTGAAGACATTTTTCAACTCACCTTGTCTTTGTGACGGACAAGGAGGTGTCCCCTCTCAAGTCTAGACATTGACCAGACTCGCAGTTGAATGGAGGTTTAAGACTGGTAGCGGTATAGCATCTTTTGCTACATCTGAGGGCAGCAGGTTGGTTCAGAGGATTCAGGTCACACTCTGTGATATATAGTACATAATTCCAAAGAAGGAAACAATTGTAAAGTCCATAAGGGATGTCTGAGAGACTTCCACTGTGATCACCTGCTTACACCTGCTCTCTTTGCTGGTTTCATCACTCCGCTTAATGGTAGAGCTGGCCCTATCTTTTGGTGAAATTGTGTACCTCATTGATGTTTTAAATTCTTGTGAGCAATAATTAAACAGTCTTTAAATAGGGTTAATAAACATGCAGAGCACCCCAACTCAACTTGCTAATCTTATGTGAAAAGTGATGGTCTGAAGAGGAGGGTATCTGTGGAGGTTGTTTGTATGATTTGGAACCCTGGTCTTCCACAATTCATGATCTTAGGGATTGCTTCCTAATACACAGAGGACGTTCTCTGCTGCCGACTTTGCTTTCTCCTTGAGCACAGCAGTATCCGAGAAGAGTGTGCTATGGCACTCCCATTCTTTCCCTGACTGCCCAAATAGGGCTATAAGCATTTTAATCTGCTTTGTATTGTTTTATTCGTGTGTTTTTTTTAAAGCCAGTACTGGAAGTTTAAGGTAAGGGTGGGCTGTATATTTAAATGACAACTGAAGTAATGAAATAGACAACACTTATGGAAAAGCTAAGATACACCTTGGGCCCTGGGGCCCCTGACAAAGGTATAAAGGCTTGAGTCTGAGTTAGGAAGGAGCTGCTGAGCTGGAACAGTGGGAAGCTGAATGTGATCTAGGAACAACTCAGTACCAAGCTGTTCAAAACAGGGCTGTCTCTCTTCTGCATTCTGCATTCCAGTCTTTGGAGAAGTAAATCCACCTGAAGGTACAATAGGACTCCCCTATCTGCAGAATCAGTATCTGTTGATTCATTTATTTGCTATATGAACATACTACATAAAAAAACCTCAGAAATACTGTATTTATAAGTATTTCCAAGGTGTATTTACTAGAACTGGCCACTAAATAGAGCTAGAGACCATTGTGTTTGATACTTCCATTTTTTTTTTATATCCCGGGTGGGCTTGGAACCAATCCTCCATGGATACCATGGTCCTACTTTATTCTGTTTCTTCAAAAAAAATTGTTTGTGGTTCTGTGTCTGGATGTAATGAGGAAAAAAATGGTCATGCTGCTCTAAATTCTCATTTTCTCGTGCTTGTCATTTTATTTTTCTCAGCAGCCAAGGCTGGGCCAGAGAGATGGTACGGCCAGCAACGCCAATGCCCCCTCCGTTGAGTCCTTTCCCTGGGTTGGACCAAAGACGGTGGTGCTGCGCAAGAACTCACAGGGGGGTTATGGCTTCACTCTCCGGCATTTTATTGTCTATCCTCCAGAGTCTGCGGTTCATTCCAACATCAAGGTAAGGTCTGTTCTGGATGTAAGGACAATGTTGGACTTATGGGCATGGAAGACTGTACAGTTCCCTCACTAAACCAAAGCACCTGTGTGACACTTTGACCTCTATCCTGGAACAGAGGCAGGATATGTGCAAACACAATAGGATAGACGAATACATTTCAGGATATATTCTCAAGGAATATATTCCAACAGGAGAAAAATGCACACTTTATTTTGTGCAACAGAATTGTGGTTATAGGATTCCTAAATCTGGCAAATAAAAATGATCATGCCAACAGCCCCACCCCCGATTTCATAAGAATATAGGAAGCCAGCCATTTTTCCATTTCAACCAACACTGGGGGTAATGATTGGTAGCAAGTTTCATGGGTTTCAGGCATGAATTTTGCTCAGTCCTTCCTGGAGATGTCAGGGCTAAACCTGGGACTTCTTGTATGCAAAACTGTGCTTCTAATGGTGAGTTGACTAATGAAATAACTGAATGTGATTTTTTAAAAAACCCTCTTTGACCCTCACAAATTTTCTGAGTTCTTTGATTTGTACTTTGCCTCTCACCCCCACCCCACCCCCATAAATTCCGCATGCTTGCTATAAATCTATCTGGAAAAGAATTGGACAACATATGATTTATTATCTGTGAACCTCCAGGGGATCCACTACCGTCTTTTCAGGGAACTTTCATGAGCTTCTATGTTTCTCTCCAATGCTATTCCAAGTCTTGATATATATAGGTATCCTTAATTCCTTGTTGGAAATCTGTTGGGGAATTTGACTTGCATGAATGAAGGTACATCAGATGCACCTTAATATGAAGATGCTGTTGTTTTGGGAGCAGAAACTGTTTTTATTGGGCTTCGAGTCCTGTGTTGATCTGTTGCACACAAGATGGCCAGATGTTTTTACGGGGGACAGACCTCTGCTTATGAAGATGTTATCTGTTTGAATGGTTGTCCAATCCAAATCAGATTCAAATATAAAGAACTATAAGAGGTAAGATGGGGACACAGTTAGTACCTGGGCAGCATGTATATAAATCACTTGGACACAGTCTTCTCCATGAGGGTAAGAGATCTTGTAATTTTGTTCAAATTATAGCAATTATTTCTAGGTTTCCACTTGTGCACACAAATTAATATATGCTGTTTTGTGCAAGCCAGTGTATCACTTAGGGTGATAGGGCAAGAGAGTGAAAAAGTTCGTAGACATTGTTATAGATGAAGTATAGTTGCTTTGGTATATTCAGTAACAAATCACTGGGCAGAGTTAATAAGGCATATCTTGGAAATTTATAGGAATAATTTGTAATTGGCTCTCTCACCTAATTCCCAGGTTCAGGAAGATTCTGATCTGTGAGGATATATTTCAGGTCCACTCGCTGTCATTTTCTCTTTTGTGGCTAACTTAAGGTGCATTAAATGTACATCTAAAATTAAAATTCAGCCAGCCTATTTGTAAACATTTATATCTTGCAGACAGTCATCAGAGAAGCAAAACCTGGGTTTTTCCCTCCTGTTCATTGTAGGCTTAGTAGGAAAGCAGTGCAAGTTGCCAAGTTAAAAGAAAATGCTGCATATTGGGAGATCTGGCCATCAATGTCCTACATAATATATGATTAGACAATTAAGGACAGGCAGAAGGGTTCTAGCTTTCTAACTGACATGCTGTTTTTCTCTGTGTAGGTTGTGAGCACTTCCCCTCTGCTTTTGGTAGTCGAATTGGCTGTGCTTAGTGATTTACCATTAATGTGAACTAATCTAGAGGTTAAGCCATTATGGAGGTGGAGAGTTTTTTCACGGGCTGCCCTCAGGATGGGCAAGTCTGTCATTTTTGGTTTTACCTAGTTTTTCATTTTTCCAGCCATACATTTCATCATTAGCTTCTTTTGAAAGAACCAAGTAGATAATAAAACAAGGTTTCATACCATAATGTTACTGATGTACACATAATTGTAGACACTTTCCCTTGACATGTGCATTCTGTATTTTTTGTTTGTTAGAACACCGAGTTGCAGAATTTTTCAAAGCGCGAATATTGATTATAACTGTGTTTGGTTTCTTTATAGAGAGGAGCACAAACTGGGTCGTTCCAGTTTGTAAAGGTACTAGCGCAGGTGCTGTTGCTCCAGTCCCCCACCTCTGGCTCAATCAGCCACTCAACAGGCTCAGTATGGTAGCATCCTGCATCTCCTCAACTGATCTTCCAGTCCCAGCAACGGCTCAGGCTTTTCTGGCCCACCTTCTTGGCTGATCTCCCACTCAGACAGGAGGGCGGGGTAGAGAAGTCTCTGCTTTTGCTCATGAATGGGAGATTCACCAAGGAGGTGGAAAAAACAAGCATGCTGGCCTGGTGAGAGGCTGAATTGACTGAGGAGCTGGGGGACGGATGGCTGAGGAGATGGGGGATGGCCTTTACAAACAGGGATGAACTAGTTCATGCCCATTTCTATTTCTGTATCATCCTGGTGAGAGGCTGAATTGACTGAGGAGCTAGGTGACGGACAGCTGAGGAGGTGGGGGATGGCCTTTATAAACAGGGATGAACTAGTTCATGCCCATCTCTATTTCTGTATCATCCCCTATACAGTGGTGCCTCGCAAGATGATTGCCTCACGGGATGATTAATCTGCAAGATGATTGGGTTTTGCTGATTAATCCGCAAGACGATTGGTTTTTGCCATCACTGTGGCACTTCACAAGACGATGTTTTCTATGGTCGATTTTCGCAAGATGATGATTTCTCCCCGTTGGAACGCATTAAATAGATTTCAATGCATTCCAATGGGGAACCGTGTTTCACAAGGCGATGTTTTCTATAGACGATTTTTGCAAGATGATTTTTTTCCCATTGGGATGCATTAATTAGATTTCAATGCATTCTAGTGGGGAACTGCATTTCGCAAGTCGATGTTTTCAGAAGATGACTTTTTCACGGAATGAATTAACATTGTCTTGCAAGGCACCACTGTAATTGACAATGCTGGCTAAGGCTACTAGGCCGACCTCCAAATCCCAATAATACAGAAGTATCCACACACATTAATCCAGTTTTCTTTCTTTGATCAATTCATTACAATGCAATGAGATTTTGCTATGAGCCAGAAAAGAGTGGTTCCCAACGGGTCTCCAAATGTTCATGGACTATAACTCCCATAAATCATGGCCACATCTCTAGTGGTGAAGGCTTCTGAGAGATGTAGACCAAGAACATCTGGGGACCCAAGGCTGAGAATCACTGCTGTAAATCATGGGTTGGCAACGTGTGGCCCTCAAGATGTTCTTGGATGGCAGCTCCTTTCTGCCCTAGCCAGCATAGCCAATAGTAAGGAATGCTGTGAACTGCAGTCTGGCAGCTCCTGGAAGGCTGCATTTTGCCCAGCCGTGCTCAAGATGATAGACTGAACTCCTGTCAGCCCTAGCCGGCACAGCTGGTTGTAGGGGATGATGGGAATTGCAGTCTAATAGCATCCAGAGATGCAGATATTCACTGCCCTGTCCTTAAAATATTAAAGAGGCCTGAGGACTGCTTCTAATATTGAATGCTGGGACCCCTCCATGCCCCCATTTCTGGCCCCCTATACGTGTACCTCGCACACTGAGCACAGTTCCAAATTCCTGGGAGCTATTTGCTGATGTCCCATTCCATTCAGATGAAATGTCTGGCAGGGAAGTGCTGTCTCTGAAAGAGAGAGCCAGCTTTCCGGCCCTTGCAGACCAGAGGCCTTACTCCCCTCTTTTTGGCTTTTGTCATTTCAGAAAGGGAAAGTGGATCCTTTGCCAGATAAGTTCAAAGGCATTGGAGGGCTATGAGGGGAGGAGATGGGATTGGGGTAAGCTTTAAAGCGCTCCGTGTCTGTCCCTTTTCTGCAGTGTCAGCTTCATTGGTACAAAAGGGGGCCTGTTGTGTTCCACAGTCTGGACAAAAGGCTGTCTCCCTCCTTCCTCCACCCCCCGCCCCAGTTAGACAGAGTTATCCAAAAGTTGGCTCTGTTATTTGCCCCCCTGCCGATCTATCTCTTTACCCCACCACCAAACTTTTGCTCTGAAATGGGATTTCTGAAACTCTCAAATCAGCAAGAAATTGTTTTGTCTGTTGGTGTTGGGAGGATCTCAACCAGAACTAGCAGAATGAGAGTAAGTATGTTCAGGATTGGAATATTAAGTGGGGATTGGGGGAAGTACATTGGCAAGGGTGTCTGTAGTGGTGGGTGCACAGGTATGCATGCTGTCCAAACTGCAGGCAACAGCCGAATCTGAATAGGGCGTTCCCGAGGGCAGGATAAAACACAACGTCAGGCATGAGTAGATGAGGATGTTGAATGCAGGTATCTGGGATGGAACTGCCACCAGGCAGGAGAGTGAGCAAGGCTAGGCAGGTAGGATTATGAAGTGAAGTATGTGGGGTACCTGGAGCATAGAAACATGGCCTTATAGTTAGCCAGACAATGGGTTCATCCAGTTCAGTACTGTTGGCATGCTGTAACTGTGGCTCTCCAGGGTTCCATATGGGAATTGCTACCAGCTCTACATGCAGAGGCTGGAAAATATGAGGAAGTATTGAATGTAAAGCCTGTGCTAGATTTCTTGAAATATCTGAAAAATAACAAGGAAAGGATAGTCAGCAAAAAACAGGGTACAGGGTGTGTCCCTAAAAACGTCATCTGAAGTTACTTTCCTTTCATGCTTATTAGTGCATGTGGCTGAGACTTCAGAGTGAAGGTGTGAATTGGCCACAAGACATTTTGCTAGCCTTGAGCCAAATTTGTGGTCAACACCAGTCTTGCACTTTCCCTGATTTTGGTAAGGGGTGTCTTGGAGATGTCCACCATAACCTGAAGCAGGGCTGAGTTGTAGAGGCCCTTGTACAAGAGGCAGCACTTTCAGGAGTCTCTGAAGTTCCTCTTAAGCACTTGCCAGACTAAGAGGTAAGGTTGTCACTGGCAATCCGGCAAGCCGACTTGTCAACACTTTGTTTTCAACTGTCCTCCCTTGATATGAAATATGT